TGATAGGTCTGCCGTTTTGTGACAAAACAGCGCCTATGGCATGTGAAGAGGCGTCCGTTGTCAAGTCAAAGGGCTGCTTGTAGTCTGGGTAAAGGAGCAGTACATCCTCGGATGCAAGAATCCTTTTAATTCTACCAAAGGCGTTAAGTGCTTCTTCGTCTAATGTTATTTCTATTTTCCGGGATTGGTTAGCACCGATATTTCCATTTTCCCCACGTAGGTATTTTATTAGGGGCTTTGTAATCGCAGCGTAGTCCTTTACAAATCGTCTGTTATAGCCAGCCAACCCCAAGAATGATCGTAAGGCTCTTAATGATTTGGGGACAGCGAAGTCCAAAATATCCCTCACTTTATCGGGGCATGTCTTGAGACCCTCTTTGGATACTGTAAAGCCCAGAAACTCGACACTTTCTTGAAAGAATTTGGACTTGTCGGCGGACACCCGCATATTAGCGGCGTAAAGTTTTTGTAGTACCAGGTCTATGTCCTTTAAATGTTGCTCAGCACTTTCTGAAAAAATTATGACGTCGTCCACATAGACGTGGCATATTTTACCGATTTCCTCTCTTAATACGTCATCAATAGCTCTGTGAAAAATGCTGGGAGCATTTTTTAGGCCAAAGGGAAGCCTACAGAATTCGTACTTGCCGTTATTGACCGAAAATGCCGTTTTTTCTCGATCCTTTTCGGCTAACTTAATTTGGTGGAATCCAGACTTCAGGTCTATAGTTGAAAAGAACCTGGCATTTCCAATATTAGCCAAAATTACAGAAGTGTCCGGAATCGGGTAATTGTCACTCACTGTTTTGTTGTTCAGTTTTCTAAAGTCAATCACGAGTCTGGGACTTCCTATTACTGTCCTCATCGACGCCCTTCTTCCTTACAACCCAAATCAGATTATTATAAGGAGAGCGGGGTGGTCTTATTATACCGTCACGCAAGAGATTCGAAATCTCCTTATTGACAAACTCGGCTGAAGCTATGGGGTATGGGTAGCTCCTTGAGTAAACTGGAAGGTCATCGGTGGTCCTTATTGTTCCTAAATTATTGGTGTTATTGGGTAAAGCTCCGTTGGGGTCCGCGAAAACTTTAGCATGTTGTTTCAATAGTGCGGAAATATCCAACTTGCTCACGTTCGTTTCTATTAATTTATTAACATCCGGGCAGTAGTGATGGAAGAGTTTTTCCCGTCCGGCGTCATAACTAAGAAGTCCACTTTTGCAGTCTATTTTACCGTTTACTTCCGTTAATAGGTCAAAACCTATGATACCGTCGAAGGTGTCTAAGCTGGGTAGGATAAAAAATCTGGTATTTTTATTAAAAATGTTGATTGTACAATACTTGTCAATTCTAGTGGTGCCATGGATAGATTTGACTGTAAAGGTGCGGTTTGCGGGTTTGATTCCCCTTAGGTCGCTGAGTTGTTTTATGTAGCTCTTCGCAGCACCAGTGTCAATTAGGAATTTTATACCTCTTTCCCTGATTGTTCGCTCGATATAGGGCAAGAGGGATTTTGTCCTAAAAAATTCACATCGTCATTTGTTTCGCCTTCGCCTTGGTATTCAACTTGGTTACATCCTTCGTAACCCTCGCTCTGGTAATAATTGTCGTAACTGGCATTATCCCAATATTCTCCCTCAGGATCGTCCTGCTCCTGAGTAAGGTTATTTATCCTTTGAACTTTTTGTAATGCCTGCTGGTCGCTCCCGTGCGGTCTTTTCTCTGGCCTTTCCCTACTGAGGGTCTGGGTGGTGTTTCGGTTAGACAAGCCACTCGGGTTGCCAATATTTGGATTAGGAGCCCTTGGATAGGTTCCTTTATGGAACCTCCCATTATTACCATTTACTGGTTGAGGTTTGTTCTGTCTGAACCTTGAGAGCGATGGGTCTACATCCATTGGTACGGCCCTTTGTGTCTGAGTTTGTCGTTGTTGGTCAGGTTGGATCGCTCGGTACTGTGGTAAATACGGATACTGCCTGGGATTCTGAATTGATTGCCTGTTAAAGGACTGGGCAAACATGGACCTAGCTTGGTTTGATTCAAGCTCCTGTGCTAAAGGCAAAGCGGAGGGAAGATCGTTAGGTCTGGAAGAAAATAGTATGTCGCATAACGGACGATTGAGCCCCGAAATAAAAACACGGAGAGCGTCCTCGCGGTATTTACTATTGAGAGATTGCAAAATCTAACCGTGAAATAATTGCCTTAAAATTTAGGACTGTGTTGAAGGATGAAAGCACACTATCTGCCGCCCCTACTACTTTATTTCTTATGATGCCTACTGCCTGGTAGTGTTTGGAACTACCTTGGAATCCCTCGAATACCTTATACGCAGTGTGAGCTGCTTGCCGCCATGAGACATAACGGGTAGGATCACCCTTGAATTCCGGCATGGTCTTTACCAGGTCTAAGGATTCGTCACACAATACATTTGGTTCAATTGTAACCGGCTCATACTGAACCACTCGAGTTGGGGTCTCGATTCTAGCTAATCTATTTGTAAGTTCGTCTATACGGGTCTGAAATTCCTGTCTGGAATGCTCGGTTGCCGTACGGATTGCAGTATTTAGAAGGGCTTGGAGGGTCTGGGCGTCCATCGACATTGTTCTGTTTTTAGGAAATCTCCGATTCAAACAATACTTTTTTCTAAAATCTCGAATGGGATTTCTCAGATTTATCTAATTGATTTTAAACTTTTATTAATATAGTTAGCTGCTAAACTTTCTACTTACATTCATATTTTCATGTTAATATCTTGTGTGCTCCTTGATCGCTGTATTGGTGGTTGTTAATATATCATCGTTATAATATCTTGTGTGATCCTTGATCGCTGTATTGATGGTTGTTAATAT